CAAGCATTTGCTCCATGGGAACTTGCCATCACCAAGTCATACTTGGCATAGTCAAACTGAAAGGGGTTGCTGTTGCACATACAGTGATCTAGCTTGCTCAGCAAGCAGCCCCACATCCCATTAGAGGAATGTCAAACATTTGGATTCTTTCAATTGTAACCTCCCGTGAATATTACATCTTCGCTGAATAAACTAAGAGATAAAGAAATAAAATCTTTAATGTGTTAGGGTACTCAAACACGATGGGATGACTATAAATAAATATGTGGACAGATACAACTTCTCTTTATGCTGCTACTTTGGCAAGCAACAGTCACTTTTATGTAGATACTTAGGTAGAGTGTGCAAAACCATATGGTGTCTGTGATTGCATACAGACTGTTATGTTTTCTGCCTTGGAGCTGTTTTTCTACAGTGCTTACTACACTGAAGATGTGTAGAATACGCAATTACATTCTTTACCAAGAAACGTTTCCCCCTTACTGTACAAGCCTAAGTAAATAAAAAGATATGCACTGAAACTGTATTACTGTAACTGTTTTTTTCAGACCAGTCTACTAGGAATTTGCTAGAATTTCCTCTACAAGTAGCAATTTTCTGAGTAGGTGCTTTGAATGGCTTCAAAAAATTCAGCAGAAATATGCCTTTCTTTTAAAAACTGTATTTAAAGGTAATTAGGCAACTCCACAGTTAGAAGGGTGTTATATTGGCAGAGGCAGGATGTTCTGCCCAACTTCATCCTGAAAACCTGTGTCAACACTGACTGGAGAGATCTGCTCTCACAAAACAGTGTTTATTCAGCTCTTCTTTTTAACGCCAGATGAGTTCAGCTAGCACTAACTAGAAGGGTGGTGTTCATCACAGCCAACGAGTAGCCAGATTCATTTCTGAGGCTGCAAAATACCGCACAGCATATGAACTCTCTTCAGTTCCCAAAATTATGAGACATTTGCAAGCTTAAGTTTCTGTGGGTTTCATTCAACTTTTTTATCTGTGGATTCAAACCCAGTTTGTTGGTTTTGCCATAACTCAAAAGTCAAAACAAACTCCAAAGAAAACATTTTTTCCTACTCAATTAATTGTATGGGAGCAATGGTTTGGTATTATGCAGTTCTGCAGAACTCTGAAAAGTATCTTACGACTTGCTGTCTTTAAATGAAACCAAATCAAAATCATGGAAACATGGAGCTCCCTCATCAGCCTGCATGAACTGCTATGTTTCCACTTATGTTAATAAAACAACACTGATTTAAACTAGCAAAGGATTGAGAGTTTGACTGAAAAGTCATGCTTCATTCAACAGAAATGGGAGAGAGAGGTGGGCTTCCTCATCAAGAAAACAGAGCAAATTGTAGGTAATATGAACAGGCTCCAGTGAGATGTAACTAAGATTAGCAAAGCAAATTAAATAGATCACTCAAAAATGTTACAAAGGTCTTTTGCGGGCAAAATGACAAAACTTTCCCTTTCATACTAGGAGAAACTTTACTACTAGATAGGAATCTAATAAAAGGTAGCACTTTTTTGTTTCCTTTGTCTAAAACGGTGTGCATTCACACACATGACTTTAGGCAAGTATTGTATGGACTTTGCTAGTACTGCTTCATGTGCATCAGATAATAGCTAGTCTTTATTCTGTTTCAGTGTACCAATCTAATCTGTAAAATGCGTATGTTCAACCATTTCCTACCCAGTATCAGACAGCCCTCCAAGAATAAGTAAGAAAAGCAAAGTCACTCATGCAGTGGCTTCCAAAGTTATTTTGGATAGTTACAGTTGCAAGAGAAGACATGGTGACACACACCACCTTCCCTCCTCAGCTTTGTGCTACATACTTCATCACCGGCTAGGTCTTCCGCATCTTCTTATGGCAAAAGTACTGCTGCCACCATGGATGGATTCGTATAGAGCTAATGGGAACCAGAAACAAGCTCCAAAATCCACCTGACGTCAGCCATGGCATCTGCAGGCATCAGCTTTTGTTTCTTGCTTGCACTTAAGAACCTAGAAAGTAAGAAGAAATTGGGAGCTCACTCCCAAGTTTACAGCGGTTCAAAGTTGCTCACTTACTCATTTGGCTGTCACCAGTGGTAAGGGACCCTGCCCTCACAGATTCACGGGATTTGTAGTACTTCAAAAAAACAAAGCCAAAACACCTTATCCCTAGTGATTTCAGCAGTGTCCCTTTTAGATTTATCAATTTAAGACAAAATTTTGTATGTCCTGTATTACTGAGTTGCAATGTTCAAGAAAATAAGCTCTGCAGATACAAAGGACTGCATCCACACAGGAGAGCTTATAATGCTTACATTATAATGCTTACAACCTTCTAAGTATTGGGACGTGCATTTTTATAAATACTGTGAGATCCACACATGAAAAGAACCATGTAACAGTGTGATTATTGATTACAGTAGCTCCCATTACATTAAAAACAAATATTCTTCTGTCCTTTCCTCTTCAGACACAAGTCTGTTGATTTTGTTTTGGTTTTAATACATTTTATCACAAAGCAAATTGCAGTTATCTGCCTTGCATGTGCATAACTATACTCATTCATCCCACAGCAACATCTCAAGTACACCGTTGATTGCAGTATAACCATTCGGCCTGCCTGGGAAGACTTTCTAAATCTGTTGCTCTGCCAGATACTGGGTTTTACCTCTTGTTGGATGGCATAGCTTTTTCAGAATCCCACTACTGGTCAAAATACTCTTCCTTAAACAAAATACAACTTCCTGCACTTTTCCGAGAACTCATGGAACAATCACCACTTACTTGCAACAGTTCTGCAGTTCCTGCAACTGTAAGAATTAGATCATGAAAAGGATCCCTGCGTACTATGCATTCATGTGTGGCCTATTGTAAAAGCAGACAGAACAGATTTGTTCGATACTTAAGGAAAAAATAAATTTAGGGTGCTTCTCACTGCAGTTAAATGCCATCCCTTTCACAGCCTGTCCCAAGTTGGCAAATATAGGCAGTCAAGAGAGTTTAATTAAGCCTGTATCTCTTATCTGCTCATTTTCTAACCAGAAGACATAATTAATGCATTTTTAGCATACAAGCAGGGCAACAGCTATACTCGTTTTCATTACTGAGCTGAAAAGCAACAAGTTCCCTCTAGTATCCTGTTAGATGAGAAAAGTGTTTTCTTACATTAGGAAGCAGTCCTATAAAATTCAGATCAGAATTGACTCAGCTGCACAAGATGTAAGGCATGAACATTCAGACACTCAAACTAAGCCTTTTCAAGTGAAAACTTAAAACTCAGAGAATTTTTGATGGAATACAAGAGAAAATTGAGGGAGGAATTTGACCCAGTGGTTCAATGCATTGTTCACAACAAAGCTACCGCATTAGTAAATTTTAAGTTTGATCTTTATCAAATACATGCTGTTTGCATTGATCTGACAAAAATAGATTAAAAGAAAATTCAAAGTCTTGATGCATAATTTCTAGCATTTTCTTGATGCATAATTTCTAGATGCATAATTTCTCCTGTCACAGAGTATACTTTTACAGGAAGCATGTTTTTGTGATTAATACGAAAAAACCCAGACATAACACAGAATTCTATGTAATTTTGTATTAAAGAAAGCCAACATAACCTTGGAAAACCAACTCATCTGCTCTCTCCTCTACTATATGAGGTACTTCCCTATTTTACAGGGAAGATCATGGCTACATTCTCTCACACTTGTAGAATGCAAAGATAGTTGGAAATCACTTTCTCAACACAAAATATTTTAAATTTGCCTGTAACTTTTTTAAAGCTACATCTACTTTGATTCCAGTATATGAAAAATCACTGTGTTAGCTCAGAAGCAGCAGCTGAGTGTTTTTGGATCTGTTATTCCTCTGCAGCACTGTGTATTCACAATTTAATTGCCAGGTCATAGTCTGGCTGCTTTACAAAGTCAACTGGCTGGAGTTATCTAAAGCTTTGCAGAATTCTGCACAATGAGACGACAATTCAAACCAATTGGCATTTTTTCCTTTTAGGAACTGTAGCTCTATATACCATTACTTTTATGTGAATAGTTTTTCCTTAATTGTAGAACTATGGATGGAACAGAGCCATAAAGTCAAAGCCAAATGGCTCTGAGATTCAGGATGTCAAAATGTGAGTTCTTGATAGATTACAGACAGACTTAATTGCTGAAGTTAAAATCCACATCAGAAAATTAACCAGGTTTGAAGCTATTTTATTCTGGTTTTCAAGTCTGTTAACAACTTCTGATGGGATACAGAATGTTCTCATTTGCTACTCATTCCAGTGTGTGTCAACAGTAGGAAAAAAAGAAAGGCTTTTTTTTTTTTTAAATTTGGTCAAAAATTATTAATTGTAATTGTAAACTAGATGCACAGAGTTCTATCTTTCAGAGTGAATACTGTTCAGTGATAAACTCTTATCTTCCATCTGCAAAGTTTACCTCACATCATACTATTATTAAAAAAAGGCTACTTTTACAAATATTCTTAAGAATTTTTACTAAAATTCTTGTTTTCACAGGTTTATACTTACAGAAGTTCTTCAAAAACCTCCCACTTGAAAAACACTTGCTGAAAAACCTACCCGATGCTGTATGCAAAGGTAAACATCGACGGCAAGTTGTAAACTTCGTTGAACAGAGATACTGAATCGCAATTGTGCTAAACCTCTCTGCTGCAAGACTTGCATGTATGTGTTGGTGCTCTTCCAAAGCTGGCCAAAATCAGCAGTAGCAGACACACCCAAGTTATTCCATATTCCCATCTGATTTCTCAACTACCCTCTAACATCTCCTGCATCCAGAGCATTGAATAAAAGACAATTAAGCTGCTCCATTCCTCACTAGACAGTCCTACTTCTCTGGTACTCTCCTGATTGCTTTCACATCCTTTCATACTTCATTCCTTTCTTTGCCCTCTTCTGCTATTGCTCACTATCTTGCCCAAATTGAGCAGGTGTCTAAAAAGGAAGACTGGCATTGGAAGGCATTTCTAAAACTGATTTGTTAAAGGAGAACATTCTGGAAAATGTATGAGCAGTCATCATGGCTGTTTTGTTTCTGATTCTGGATCAAGATGTTCCACCAAACTGGTATTTCCAAAAAATATGGACTATCCTTTTTTTTGTACAGAACGGATATACTAACTACAGGACCAGAATATTGGGAAAAAGAGATAAAACTAAGTCTAAATATTTCACTTTCTCCTTAACACTCATTTTTGAACCAGGTGGGCAGGCAAACTGAATGCTTGCAGCAAGCCTCTGAGAAACTTCCTTTCTCAGTTCTGGCCTCCCAGCTTTCAAGTCACTCAGGTCCAACTTTCACAATTCATTCATTCTGCTTGTGGGAATGTCTCAGCCCATTAAAGTTTTTAGCCTTATCACTGCATGGGAATGTTTGTGGGGATATTCCTTAGCTGGGCCATCCTTTTACATTTTCTGCTTAGTTTCTTTAAACATGATCCTCTTGTGGGGGGTTATTTGTTGTGAAGTTGGACCAAACGGCCAGAGTACATTTATAAAAAAAAAAAAATCAGAATTTCCTAAGCCCATTGATAATAAGAACTACCCAAAACTCCTACTACAAATGGGAAAGCTCGATAGTGGCCACTAGGAGTAATTTGTCACAGAAAGTATGTGTGACACAGATGCCTTTTTAACAGGATGGTTGTTGACATAGCAGTTTTCTTCCCCTTCAAGAAAACCAATTAGAATCAAAAAGCTGGAAAAGTATCTTTAGCTTCTCTCTGATCTACTAAAATCTCACTTGCAGAAACAAACAAAAATCCTTTAACTGACTCTTAGAGCTGGCAACACATACACATAATAAAGGAATTTCAGAGGCTTCTACACTCGCCAGCAGGCGCTAGATCTCATTTCTTTAAACAACTTCATTAAGTCCTGAAACTAATTTTCAGCCTCAGAATAAAAATCCAATATTCTTCCTATACATAAAATCCGTGTGCTGATTTTTCTGAAGACTGATCCATCTCTTATTAGCCTATACAGGTCTTCTTAAGTTCAACCTGAATTTATCACAGCTCTGATATCGTAACAACTAAAATCCTGCCATTGTGCAACACACAAGTGACTTAAAGAGTCACTACCTTAATGTGTACAAAGCAGCATATTTAAACACTTAGCATGAGAGGGGCTGCACAAAAGCAGGAACTGCTGCTGCTTAGAGTACCAGGCAATAGCAGAGCTAATGAACTATCTCCAACATTTTAAAGGCTCTGCCTCAGTTTAAAGATCATGTAGCTCTGCTTCAATTTAACGCAAACTGGAAGCATTTGGCTGCATCTATCTGAAACTCTTTTTAAAAAATGGTAGTAAAATGGACAAATACGTATTTTGGCATGCATGCAGGCATGTAAAGGTTTTTGATCAGAACATCTTTGTCAGAGTCACGAAATAGCAATTAGGCAGTGCAATCATCTGCCCCATTCCAGCCCAAGGAACTGGACTCACCACGTGCTGGCAATGAATGAAATTACAGTATCATTATAAAAATATGCAGCAAAAACAAGCAGTGCCACCAACACCATAGCAGAGCATGCAGTTATTACTACATTTTGGCTTACTTACAGATGCACACCATCTCTCACAGCCTGGCCTTCTGCTCCCTGCCAATTATGGTGCTTTTACATTTGACTGCAGCGAGGCAGGAGCTACAACAGAAGCAGGTCAGGCCAAATTATGTTCTTTTTACAATGTCATTTACCAATGTGTATTTCCTTGCCAAGGCAAGTACCTCCAAAACGTCATGAGAGTACTGAACAAGCCCATGGTCATGGAAAAATTGCTTTCAGTACTGCTTGCTACAAAAGATACAGTAAACAAAGCAACTGTAACAGTAATTCCAAATGCGAAAATAAAACACAGCAATTAATGTAGCTGGTCTCCCTTCCTTCTGGATGTATCCCCAGGACCATTTTCAACAGTCCTTGATAGCCTCTATCTTCAAATTTGGGAGCTTTCCTGATCTTTTGTTTATGACACTCATATTTGAGCAGATTTATCCATTCACAAAGCAGCAGAAATGGCTTCTGCAGCTGCATCTACAGTGATGACGAGCAATTGAGAAGTGTCTTTACATGTCCAAATGTGTTCTGATACCTGCTTTTCTAAGTTGATTTCAGTATAAATTTAACACAGGATGTCAGTGTCCTACTTGTTGAGCTTCCTCTCGTATTATTGCGCACAACACAACCCAGCAGATGGTACAAAGCTGAATGTTATGTTAACTTGCTCCAGAATTCATCCATGCCAACTGCAACTCAGACCCTGAAAAGGGTCTTCACTCAGATAGGAAGTAATTTCAAATTTTATTAGCTTTCCAGAGCATACTGGAGACTTTTTTCTTTTCCTCTGCCTCTCAGGGAAGAAGCTGAGCTCCTGGCTTTTATGTGAGAATGTTATTTTTTTATACACAAACAAGCAACGCCCAGTAAAGGGAGGGAACTAATCGGAAGTTATCTAGTTGAGCCATTTTAATTCTTGGGTGAGCAGTCAAAACTACATCAAAAGACTTTCGTCGAGCCAGAGATTTTGAATGGAGAAAGACTGTTTCACTTGATCACGTCATATCCCAGCACCCAACCACAAGGAGAAAGTACACAGAGAGAAGAACGGGCAGTCGCTCTCATTTTAGCATAAAGAAAGCAAATTTCTGCAGCAGAATAGAGACCTAAAAATTCTGTAAGGCAGGCCAGGGCAGCCTTGGAGCATGCCACATTAGCAGTCTCATAAGATAGCTGGAACGCTGGGCCAATGTCACCACAATGAACCAGGTTCTTCAAAATGAGAAGCTGCCTTCTGCCTCCACTCTTATCACCTCTGAAAAACAGTGAAGGCCAGGGCCAGGAAAGAGAAAGAAAATGGAAATTCCTCTTCAGTTTTAATTTTAACTCATGCTAGGGCACATAAAGCTACTGATGATACCATGTCCTCTTCCTTTGCACCATGGAGGATGCTGTAAGCAGGGGATAAAAGGGCAGCATTCAACAAATTAGACACTGCAAACTCAAGTTACAATAAAAGCAAAGATGCCTTTACTGAACAATGACAAACAGAAGTCCCTGTATCATCCTTTTAGTTTATGATACAAAGAAGGGCTCCCAACGGGAGACCTCAACAGTCAGGTTCTGTTTGTTTTGGTTTTTTTCAGACAAGATAGGCATTTAAGCATGTGCCAAATTTGTAACTTGATCATGTAAATATAATTTCAATAAACAGATGTTCATCAGCTGTATTAAAAAATAAACCTTTAAAATAGATACAATCCTCTACGAAAAACATTTATTCAACTAATTTACAGAGTAAGCCAATTAAGGCAAAATATATTACTTGGAAATAGACAGGCTTTCACTGGGTACAAATATGAGCTGGCTTAACAGTATATTGTATATAAAAATGTCCTCTGAAAGCATCTAAGAAAGATAAAGGCAGAGCAATATAAGCTGAAAAACTGCTTCTTTAAGGCAAATAAAAAGTATTTGTTTCTTCTTTGTTTCTTCAAAAAAGTATCATTACCAAAATATTTTTCTTCACAATTACTTCTGTATTTCTACATAAAGATTTAGGATTGTGTGAGCATGGATAGAGGGCATTTACAGCCATGAAAAAAATCAGACACCACTGAAGACTTATATGAGAAACAGTGAGCTCATGACATCAAGAAGGCATTTAAGACTTAAAAATGTTTAGAAAACCCAAGATAGCAAAGCAAGTGATACACTTCTCACCATTTTCCACATCAAATTGCTGACAACTTGATAGAAGAAATTACATAATTCCATAAAAAATATGAAGTGTGGAAGCACTGGAGTAAATTATGTTGTTGAAACTGCTGAGATAACTTCATGTGTATGTGGTACCTGATCTAAAACCCACTGAAGCAACTTGAAATTTGTCTAGTGTTTTAATTGGACATGAATTTCATTACTGTTACATAAAAAGAAAAAAGACGCAGCATGGAAAATGAGATTTCAAAATTATTTAGCAACAACTTCAACTAACGGGGCATGGATTTGTGCTCTTCTTCAGCAGCTCACTGTTATGTGTTGTAAAAACTACTTGGCATCACTCCTGAGAACTTATATACAAACATCAAACCTATGAGGTGTTAAGTACCGCCTAAGCACAGGCCCCAAGAAAACATCTAATACAGAAGGTAGTCTCTCTGGATTGAAATGCATACATGTTATGCTGTCAAATGCTTATATTACTTATATTATAGAAATAGCTAAACAATCAAACCCTTCTGTAAAAAAGTATACTAACTAAAATATCTCAGCAAATGCCTAGCAAGGTGTCAAATAATAGCACATTCCACTTTACAAACTGTAACGCTATTTGTCCCAGTTATAAATATATGTTTGTTCTGATTTCCTGTTTTGTGAATCATATGGGAAATCATAGAGTAGTTAAAAATTGCAATTGCTCATTTCCACTATTGGAAATAACCTTCACTTTTTAAAAAGTAAAATACAGTTTACAGGTAGATTATAAATCTGTGTTGTATCCACTGAGAATTAGAATATGTAGCTTTCACTTCAATTCTAGAATCAAAACCAGTATTCCTTAGTGTCATGGATCAGCCTTCTTTCAAACGGTCCTCGG